TGAAAAGATTTATATAGGTTGTTCCATAGTGTGTAACTAGGTGAAGATTTCAATATTAGAATCAATCGATAATGAATTTACTAAATTAAACATCTGTTGTAAGGTAAGAATTATCTTTGGAGTTACGCAAACGATAGCTTGATGACGTCCTTTCTCTGGGTACACCTTCAACAAAACTTATGGCAAAGAACTGACAAATATTCATAGTCAAATAGACCTACAGCAAACACTGGTTTTCAGAACTTTCTTTTTGTATATTAATGTTTTATACAGACATATACACATACACAGAGGGTGCAATGGGAAATTTTTTTCAATTTTATATCTTTAATTTCCCACATGTGTAGTGTTTGTTTTTGATTTTGTTGATTACACAGTACAGTAGGGTCAGTTGGGCACTGTCTTTGAGAAAAAGTGCACCATGGCGCAATTCATTCTACTAGAAATTTGGAAATAGCATGCTGTACTGTTTGGCATTCATGCCAGAAGCTCCAATACAAACATTTCAGAGTGTTTGGCTGTCAATCTGGGACCTTTTTTTTTTTTAAGCATTTCACTCCAAGCAAGGCAGGAAGCCACTAACACACAAGGGGTTACAGAGAGTTGAAGCGAGAGCAAATAGGAGTGATAGAGGAAAGGATGAAGAGAAGGATAGGGGATAGATCAAGCCATCTGAAGATGTTGATTGACATTACATTTGAATAGTTGGAGATTATAGCTATCAGGGAAACAGGAAGTTTTGTCAGCAATTCCATAAAATAATAATTAAGCCAGCAGGAGCCGTTGGCATATTTTCCAAGATTGCTTATCCTGTCACCCAGAAGTGTATTTACAAATGAAACATGTCATTAGGAAATTATTAATTAAATTATCAAATTATATTTTGTTAGTATTTCTTTTGATCTAGGCAAAGACGAAAATTTATTGTTGTTGCTTAGGGAAACCACCGACTTACTGGATAAAAATATGAAGCAGTTTGTGATAGAACAATAACAAACTTGAGTTCAAACACAGTAACCAGGGGCTCTGGTCCTCTTCTGCGCAATTTTAAACTCAGTTGCGTTACAGAGTGGAGGCATGGTGGAGTAATGGATAGCGGATTGAGGAATCTGAGATCCGAGTTCGAATTCCAGTCGAATCCATTAAATTCACTTACGTTCTAATAACCTTGGAAAATGTATGAATCCTCTTCTCCTCCCACCCAGCTATGGGCAAATAGCAGGACAGACTGGGTTCTATAGCCTTGGATGGCAAATGGTCTACTGCAAAAAGAAATGGCAACCTACTGTGGGAAAAAATCTGCCTCGTCAGTCATGTATCGAAAGATTCATGATTGCCTAAGCGTTTATCACACATGGCACATAACTGACTGAAATTCACTTATGTGCTAATACCCTTGGGAAAAATATGACTCCTCTTCTTCTCCTCCCAGGGAAACAGGAAAAGGGGTGGGAGTTCCACAGGCGAGAAGTGCAAGACATGAAGCTACTGGAGTAGAAGAGACGGCTACATTTAACAGTTTTGACAGTGAAAGGGGGTGAGCGAGATGCCAGCCTAGTTGAATGCTTAAATTCATGAAGTCTGGGAACCAGAAAAAGCAGCTCATCGAAACAGTTACTGTGAAAGTATTTGTCAAAAACAGAGAGAAGCGACGGCATGTCTGTGAGAGGGCGACTGCAGACGAGATGCCAGATCAGGGCCAATTACATTGCATATCTGTCTCTGGATTTTATCAAGGACCTTGAGACAAACAGAAGGGGCTCCAGACCATATATGGCAGCAATACTCGTTGTAAGGGCAAAAGGTTGATTTGTAGATTTGAAGGAAACATTTGGTTTTCATTTACTGAACAGCCAGTATTGCTTTCAGTTGAAATTTATAAAATCCTTCTTTTATTGAATAAATTTACTCTTTAGTATTTCAAGATACTTTTGTGTAATTTTGGTAAATATATCTGTTAAAATGAAATATCAGTGCTATTTTCATTTTTGCACAATTTAGACGAAAATTTATCCATCGCACACATATATATATATATATATATATATATATATATATATATAATTTAAAGAAAAACAGACCACCTTAAAGCTCCATTTGTAATAATTTATTTCACCAGAGAATCTTATTTTTCTCTGGATCTTATAATTACATCTTTTTAACTTGAAGTAATACTTTGAGTAGATATGTGTGCATTTTTACTCCATTTTTTTCATGTAAACATTGTATCAAACATGATATATAATTGGATATTAACTTACAGCATTTCATGGAATTGTGGTTATAAGTTAATATAGTATTTTTGCTAATATGATTATTCTCATATATATATATATATATATATATATGATTAAAAATCAAAGAAAACCTTTTACCTTATATGGGGAATAGGCTATTTCTGTCTTTTCAACCCCAGTGTGGAATGAAGGATTTGATTATTTGCTCTGTATAAATAAAATACATCAAGGTCTTTTTTTCTGGATCAGTTCTAATATTTTCATATTACTAGGATCCACTTAGATCATATACCAGCAGTTATTTTTACCTTACTAAATACATATATATATTTCATTAAAAGTGACTGAAAGTTATTGCGATTAAGAATAGATATTCAGTTAGTAACTATCTCAGACTACAAATATTAAAATACTATTGTACCTGTGCCGTCAAAAAAATATGGCAATTGTTAGAAAGTTTTACTACCAAGCTGTAATGAAACAAAAGTCTTGAAACTATGTATTGAGATTCAATAAAACAGAGATAAAGAATTTATAACTAAAATAGACACTAATAAACCATTTAATTAATCCATTCTTTTTATATTTTTAGATGTTCAATGGTATCTATGATTCGCTGATTACTCCTGAAATAAAATCATTTTTTGCTTAATAGCTTTTCATGTTAAAGATTTTATGCATTTAATATAACAGTAAGATGGAAATATCTCTCAGGAGAAAAAGTTTGGCAACAGAAAGACAATGAGGGTAACAGCAAAGCATATTTCAAAACAAAGTTGAAGAAAGACATCACTTAACAGACAAAGTTATCTGAGTGCCTCACATGAAAGACCTGAACAAATAAGACTGCAATCTAAGAAACAATGTAGGAGTAAAGGAACTGATTAATTAAATGGTTCATTTTTCTCAGATACTAATCTTGTCTAAATGCAGATAAATATTTTATTCGTATAGATTATTACAATAACTAAGGGAAGTAATCACTCATAAATTTACAAAAATTGATTTACCTCCCTTCCTACTATAGATGGGACAGGAAATATATAAATAAATATACATTGGTAATTATTATATGGTTTGGGGATTGATACTTATATATTAATAAGTTTATAGTCTCCCATTTCTTAGCAATGAGCACAAACTGGGTATTGTGACTGCATTTCAGTAATCTAAAAGGGGCCCGAGAACGAACAAGACATTAGTATGAATTCAATGTAACATGGATTTACTTAGAAAGTGTATCAATAACTTAATTTACTCATTGTCTGATATTCAGAATTTTAGTGATAGTTTTGGCCAGTAGACAGGAGACATTTTTAAATTTTCAGGAATGAAAGCAGATAGCTTGAACTATATTGTGATCAAAATTTGATCCATTTCAAATTGATCCCTCAGTCATCAATTTTTGTCACATGCTATTTATATAGACACAGGAATATTGAAAATTTGTTTGTGTTGCTGCCCAAATGACATTCAAAGTCCTCTGACCTCATTTTTGGGCAGGAATTCTCACATTTGGTTCACTTGGGCCATCATTTGATGTCATCAAAGAATACATCATGCTATTTCAAACTAAAAGAAGCAAGTTTTTTTTTATATTGTTGTTTATCCATTATAAGACCCAAGAGCCATTCAAGATAGAGGGGTTACTAAATTAAGTTGCTGTATGGACATAAAATGTGAAAGTAAGTGCATATTATGAGAATATGTAAAATTGATAACAGTATCGTCCAGCTCACACTCCACCCTTGGTCTTTTGAACAGGACTAGATGTTTACCAACTTGTTTCATGTTTAGGATTGGGTTTCTGGTTCCTTCTAAAGACTACTTCAACTCTGTACTTCTAACACCTCTGCCTGAGCTCTGCATTGTTTTTTCTTCTCAATAGGAGTAGCTAGGTTTGCCTATTGTTTGGTTCAAACTCCTCTTTGACATTTTGAACAGATTTATTCTTTGTTTCCAGTTTAGGATTGGGTTTCCGATTCCTTCTAAAGTCTTCTCATTCTCTTTCACCCACAGTAGCCTCTTGCATCTTAGTGGAATAATTACCTTGCTTGGGGGTGAACTGATTAAAAAGAAAAAAAAAAAAAAAGAAAGTAATTTGACTCGAGGTTTGAAGAGGTTAAGATCATCATGATCTCGGAAGCATCCTCTCAGGAGTCTGTTCCACAAAGTAATAGTCCTTAAGAAGAAGATGCCTGAGTAGAACTTCCTCCTTACCAATGGAATACAAAGGGAATGAGAAGAAATCAACCCTGTGTACATGCCATGATGGGTCCTAGATGTGAAGGTCTGAACTAGTGGAACTAAGGAATGTAGCTCATCTATTCCCATGAAAATAGTAAGAGAAGCCAGCAACTTCTAACAAAACAGTGAAATATTGAGTTTGCTATGAAGTACAGAAATATTTTTGGGCCACACAAATGATAATGTGCAGGAGATTAAATGTGATCCCAAAGGTCAAGATAGAATTAGTTTGTATTTTTCATGTTCTTGTGAAGCCAAATAATTACATTCTTCCAACTTAAAATGGTCGTAAGGGTAACTTGGAGGCTAATTCTAAATTAAAACAGCTTTTCAACTAAAGAACTTAAACAGAGGTTTGTAACAAACACATGAATGAAAACACAAGAAAAATTCCTGCTGAGAAAATAGAAATTATATAACTTTTTATATATTAGAATAATGTTAGGCAAATGAATGACAAAGTGGAAAAAAATACAGTGTAACGTGTTTCATCCAAGGTTAAGACAAAAATCTTACCTGGAATTCCAGATGATAATAATACAGCTGACGGATGTGTTGGATACGGGGAACTGACGGTTGTCTTGAAGTCAAATTCTGAATCAAAGTTGACGACATTGCTGAAGGAATCAAGTTCATATTCTGTCTCTCTTTGTGCATTTGAAGGCAAATTAAGCTCATTTTGAAAGTTGACCTGCTCTAGGGTCAATTTAAAAGGCTCCATACAGATCCACACGTCTCTATCCTTGCCATGGTCCTGAAAAATAGAGAAACAGTAACACCATAAATAGGCATGTGACCTCACTGAATAATTATTTAAAATGTTCAGTACCATAGAACATTAGCATTTTATCTGCTTGTTAAATAACTTTCCCCTTTTTAAAATTTACACCTTGTCTTCATTTTGTCCTCTGCATGATTCTATGACTAATACTTGTTTTACAGAAATGCTTTTTAGTGACAGAATGGAACCTGATGATGACTTACAACACCCACATAGTAAAGTAAACTGAAGTGTCTGGTGTTTTGTGACCAGCAGTAAAGTCTATGCTGTAAGATCTTCAAAGCAACCTCACATTGTCCAGAAATGGTAGAAAGGAAATAGAGTAAATAAACGAGAATTTTCTCTTTCTTATAGAATTAGAGTTCTCACTGACCAAAGAGAAAATTTAGTCTGTTAGTCTGTCATGAGAGAAAACAGTAGTAGCAGTGAAGTTGTCCCAAGCGTCACCTATCCATCCAGCCCAGACTGCCAAATGTCACTTATCCACCCAGTCCAGACTGCCAAATGTCACTTATCCACCCAGCCCAGACTGTGCCACCTATCCATCCAGCCCAGACCATGCCAAGTGTCACCTATCCATCCAGCCCAGACCGTGCCACCTATCCATCCATCCAAGACCGTGCCACCTATCCATCCAGCCCAGACCGTGCCACCTATCCATCCAGCCCAGACCGTGCCAAGTGTCACCTATCCATCCAGCCCAGACCGTGTCACCTATCCATCCAGCCCAGACCGTGCCACCTATCCATCCAGCCCAGACCGTGCCACCTATCCATCCAGCCCAGACCGTGCCAAGTGTCACCTATCCAACCACCTCAGACTGTGATAACCAAATATATTTGAAACATGACTTGCATTTTTTTTTCTTGTTATAGCACTATTTTTCACTTTCAACACCCTTGTGAATAAACAAAGGCCTTTTCCAGTTTTTGTGCATGCTGATGGAAATGAAAATCAAATCACAATGTGAGGTGATTTGTTCAGTTCGTGATAAACAGAGTGCCCGCAGTTTATTGTCCTAATTTAATCTCTAAAGAATCTCACTTTTTCAGTGACCTACATGATATTTGTCTTATAATTTTTACCAAGTCACTAATAAAAAACTAATAATCATTATACAATCCTGTTAAAGAAGATGCGTAAAAGAATCCTTTAGGAAAAAGAAATGGTTTTGATATTTCATCAGGACAGAACTTTTAGTGTCCCATTGTATTCCCACTCTTCAGTACTTCACCTGTATTTGTTTAACTTTTGCTGTATGAGAATTAACTCCTTTGCACTGGCGATGCTACAGTGTCTTTGTAGTTTCCAATTCTGAAGGTGAAAACCCTGGCTGCATCAAAGAGCAATGTGTAACATTAATAATGGGAAAATATGTTTAAAAACTCACATATGAAAAAATTTATGGCCTGAAGCAACTGAGTACAAATTTATAAAAATGCATCAGAATTAAAATGAAGGTTTGAAGTTCCATAGAGTAAATTGAAGAATTCAAAGTTATTTCTTCAAAATTATCATTGCTGTTTTCTAAGCTGGACCAGAGTTCCCTTTAGTGTTGGGTAAGAGCTAGCTTAAAAGTCCACACAGAGTGCAGCTTTTAAGCCAGTGTGTGTGTATATATATATATATAAAAGTACATTTATATAAATTTGTACTCAGTTTCTCTGATTTGGGCCAAAATTCCAATTCAAGAGGAAAATTGAGTTCTTCAAATCGTAAACTCTGTGGAATTTCAAAATCTCACATCATAAAGTCTCTCACTTCAATGCTGATTCCTTGGCATTTGGAAGAAATAAAACTGATTTCCTCAATTCGCAAAGTTTGGGAGACATATTAAACAGAATTTCAAATTTAAAGTTTGTGTTACTTTAAACTCATCATAAATTAAAATCACTAATTTTTTTCAGTTATTTTAAAATTAAAATTTTTAACTGTTCCCAACTCATCCAGATACAAATCCCAATGCTGGAAGTTCAAGCAGCAGATGAAGGACAGATTTTCAATCCCAAGGTCATCTGGATTCCCTAAAGGTATAATATATCTATGTAAAGCTAGTGTGACAGAATTTGCTTTATATTTATTTACAGAATATATATATATATATATATATATATATATATATATATATATGTGTGTGTGTGTGCAATGGCTAGCTAGCAATCCAATTCCTGCTGCAGACACTTATTCAGACACATTTGTGTTTGTTCAACACCCACAGAGCCCACCTTATATAGCTAAATGGTACAGCATATCAAGTTATATGACAGTTCTGTGTAGGATATAGGTTCAATTCCTGTTGGAGGACACATATTTTCTACAAAATTACTTGGACATTCAGGCTAGTAAATGTAGTTAATACTTTTAATATTTATATAGGATAAAAATATAGTTTTAAGGTATGCTGTATTTATGGGAGAAAGTGCTCAATATCAAGAATATATTCTAAATATGGACACTGAGGTCAACACCGAGCAGTGACAGTCCATTTCATCCTTGACTGCAATCTTCAGGCCATGTGTGTTTTGGCTTGATTATTTATATATGCTGGACAATGGTGCATTATGGGTAGCAAGGTCTATTATATTATCGTAATTGTTATTGGGTAGGTAATAATTCTGATATTTCAAGTTATTCTAGATTATTATAACTCATTATTCATTACTTGATTATTTATTGTTTATTATGATTGTTTTATTATTATAAATTGTATTCAAGCATGAAACCCAGTTGCCACCTACAAATGAGAAAAAGAACAGATGGAGCAAAAATCTGCTGTTCATTTACTTTTGAAAATTGCTGAATACAAAGTAGAGTAATATATTATTATATATATATATATATATATATATATATATATATATATATATATATATAAAGTGAACATAGAAGTCAACACTTAGAGGCGACAGTCTGTTTCATTCTATATACAATCGTCAGGCCACATATGCTGTTATTTTTCTCGGCTATTTAGATATATATATACGGGTTAGTGGTGCATTGTGGGTATTCTATTACGGCGGTTATTTTGCCGGAAGTCGTTTGTTTATTTAAATAGCCAAGAAAAATAACAGCATATGTGGCCTGACGATTGCATATAGCATGAAACAGACTGTCGCCTCTAAGTGTTGACTTCTATGTTCACTTTTATATATTCTATGTTGACTTCTATGTTCACTTTTATATATTTACACTCTATCTCTGATATTGAGCACTTTATTCCATAAATATAGCATACCTTAAGACTATATTTTTTATATATATATATATATATATATATATATATATATATATATATATATATATATGGATGGATAGCGGCTTGGATTGAGGAATTGCAGAGCCAAGTTCGAATTCCACTCGGATCCGTTACATTCACTTACGTGCTAATACCCTTGGGAAAGGTGTGAATCCTATTCTTCTCCTTCCAGCTATGGGTAAATAGCAGGACAGACTAGGTTCTATAACCTTGGATGGCAACTGGTTTAGAAGGGCAACTCTGAATTCAAAACCTGCAGAGGGTCGTTTGAGGAACCTTGTGGCATTTAGTGCACCAGGTCTCTGTATTCGGCCCTTCAAAAAGTGTGGATGGTTCTGCACGAAACCTTCACTCCTATAATCAAATCTCATGTGCCGTGTCGAGTTGTCGGTTTCTGAAACTGATCTGCTTGAACCTCATACATCGAATCCGACAGGAGAGTCATATATATATATATATATATATATATATATATATATATATATATATATATAAAATTGGAGCACTATGAAAGTTGCATACACAAGATATATTAATAAATGATAAGACGTTCTTGTTTTCTTTTTTTGTTAAAACTTTAAACCTTGAAATCTGTTTTTATTTGTTAAGAATGTGCAGTGTGATGTAATAAAAAATGGCTTGGAATGAAAAGTCAGTGAGTCAAGTTTGAATTCCAGTTTGGGTTTGTTACATTTATTTACACACAATTACCCTTGGCAAAGGTATGAATTCATCTGTTTGATAGACCAACAGATGGTTCCTTTTGAAGTTTGGTCTTCTAAGTGGCATGCACTTTAACTGAGTGGGAATAGGAAGTAAAGAGGTTTTAGATCAACAAAACCAGAAATAGGTTATGTCCACATGCTGGTCTATATTAACAGTTCAGCTTGGGATTTGGTTTGGACTTGCTGGGAGATGAATGGATCCACCCCACGCTTCCAAAATCCTCCCATTCATATTGCTAGCCACCATGTCAGGATGAGTAGATGGGTGAGGAATTGGTAGGGGGAAGAACTGACATAGCAGAAGTTGACCCAAGTATCACCTTGTAATTGTTCTATTTACTTATGTATTACCCTGCAGAAGAATTGAACTCATGACCACCATGAAACTAATGCTTTGCTGTTGTTGTTGGATTGGCCTCTCTCACCTGTGCTGTGTTCTTCCATGGAGCTCAGTATAAGCCCATGGTATTTCTTCCAGAATGTGTACGTTCATTTGCCTGGTGAATCCCTGACAGGCTGCTTCAACACACTTACCTACGCCCCAGACATGCAAACAAAGCCCTGAATAAAACATCTATCTATAATATGGGAAACAGGATTTGCATTCTTATTTCTCAATGTGGCATTTATCTTTTATCATGCTAACTTGTGAGCATGCATTGTGTCCTTTCTCAGTTTTTGGTGAACACCGATGAGATGAAGAAATGGAATGCAATGTGGGGTGATCATTGGCCAGTTGGTGAAAAGCTTGGATGAAGGTCGTGTCATAGGTGTACACATGTATCACATGTAGCACTTGACTTTTTATTACTCATTTAATCTATGAAGTCATTTTTTAATGAAAATTGTATCTAGAATTATTTAGATCCTTTATCAGGAAAAAATAAATAAATAAAGAGAAAAAAAAATGAATGTAACTTAGGTGTCACACTGAGATGACTGGCCAAAGTGCTGAGTTA